CTTCATTGATTCTGAGAGAGGATCTTGTTCTGATGGGATCTTCTTTTCTTCCAATGATTACGTCTTATTTGTGAGCTGAAGATATTCTAGGAAACCTTTTCTGAGTGGGTTGGTCATAGATTCTGAGATTGTTCAGAGCATTGTCAAGAGGATGATCTGCTATGTCTTCTTTTGCTTCTAAATCTCCTTTTGCTTTTGAACTTTTAGAGTTTGAGGGATGATCTTCTGTACCTACAGAAAAATCAATTTGCTTTGGTTGTTGCTGGCGAAGCTTATCATCAAACCTGACTTTGATTGATTCTTCAACAATCAGAGTTTCTGTGTTATATACTCTATAGCCTTTTGAGCGTTCAGAGTATCCAAGCAGGAAACACTTTTGTGCTTTGGAATCAAACTTGTTCAGAGTTTCTTTGGTGTTTAGAATAAAACAAGTACATCCAAAAGGATGGAAATAAGAAATGTTGGGATTTATGTTTTTCCACAATTCATAGGGAGTCTTTTCAACAATAGGTCTTATAGAGATTCTATTCTGAATGTAACACGCTGTGTTCACAGCTTCTGCCCAAAATTGCTTAGCCATATTTGTTTCATTGATCATGGTTCTGGCCATCTCTTATAATGTTCTATTCTTTCTTTTTACAACTCCATTTTGCTGGGGAGTTCTAGGACAAGAAAAATTATGAACAATACCATTTCTTTAAAATATTTTTCAAAATAATGATTTTCAAATTCACCACCATGATCACTTCTGAATTTTGTGATTTTAAAATCTTTTTCATTTTGCACTTGAGTACAGAATTCAATGAATACAGAATGTGACTCATCCTTGTGTTTTAAAAACTTTACCCATGTCCATCTGCTGAAGTCATCAACGATGACCAATCCATACTTCTTGCCTCTGATGGATGCAGTTTTAACTGGCCCAAACAGATCAATATGAAGTAACTTTAATGGCTTAGAGGAATAGACAACATTTTTAGATTTAAAGGAAGGTTTTGAAAATTTTCCTTTTTGACATGCTTCGCACAGAGCTTCTGAATTGTACTTCAGATTGGGAAGTCCTCTGATTAAATTTAATTTATTTAGTTGAGAGATTTTTCTAAGACTGACATGTCCCAATCTTCTGTACCATACCCATTACTCATTTCTAACAGACAAAAGACATTTGACGTTTTGAGATTTAAGATCTGATAAATCAATTTTGTAAATGTTGTTCTTTCTCTTGCCAGAAAAGAGGATTGATCCATCTTTTTGACTTACAGCTTTACAGAAGTTTTGATTGAAGATAATGTCATAGCCATTGTCACTTAATTGACTTATGGACAATAGATTATGAGCTAATCCTTCTACTAATAAAACATTTGATATAGAAGGAAGGTTACTGTTTCCTATGGTTTCAGAACCAATAATCTTCCCTTTCTGATTACCTCCAAAGTTTACATCTCCACCAGCTTTAAGTTCCAGGCTTTGGAACATATACCTTTTTCTCGTCATGTGTCGTGAGCATCCAGAGTTCAGGTATCATGACTGGTGTTTCAATTGAGCTGTTAAGGACATCTGCAACAAATATTATTTTATCCTTAGGTACCCATATCTTTTTGGGTCCTTTTGGGTTAGCATAAGAGTTTCCAGAATGTGATGTATATTTTATATCATGTGAGTGTCCAAACTTGAATTGCTTATTCAGAGGTTTGTAAGTGAAGGTCATTTTAGCAACAGGTTTTGGAATGTATGTCTCCTTCCCTTTGGGAGGTTCATATCCAATTCCTCTTCTGTTTTTCCCACTAACTCCATAGATCATTGAAGCCATTTTGCTTCTGTCTATGCCTTTAGCAAGAAAATATTGAAAGCTATAGTCATATTTTTTCAGAATATCTTTTGAACTAGACACAAACTCTGAACTAAAATTCTTTTGAACATTTTGAATTTCCTTTTTAAGTTTAAAATTTGTTTTCTAGAAGTTCATATTTTTCTGTTTCAAGTTTCTCAATATCAGATGCAAGACTCTTCTTGAGTTTCTTGTATTTGATTTTGAGCTTATTATAGTTTTCCAGAAGTTCTGATAAACTATCAACAAGTTCTTCTCTAGAAAATTCAGAAAATACCTCTCTTTGTTCTGACTCATAGTCTGAGTCATCTTCTGTGATAGCCATCAGAGCTAGGTTGGCATTTTCATCTTCAGAACCAGATTCATCTTCAGAAGAATCTGAGTCATTCCAGTTTGCCATCATTCCTTTCTTCTTTCCAAATCTCTTCTTTGGTTTTTCTTTTTGAAGCTTTGGACAATCACTTTTGAAGTGACCAGGTTCTTTGCATTCATAACAGATGATCTCTCTTCTGTTTGACTTTTTTGTGTCCAAAAAATTCTGGTTTATCTTCTGACTTCTTGAAGTTCCTGAACTTCTTTTGTCTGTGCTTCCACAGATGATTGATTCTCTTGGAGAGTAAAGATAGTTCGTCTTCTTCTGAAGCTAATTCTTCAGAGTTTTCTTCTTCAGCCTGAAAAGCGTTAGTATCAAATTTCTTAATTGATTTAAGGGCTAGAGACTTACCTTTCTTCTGAGGCTCATGCTCATCCAGTTCAATCTCATGACTTCTGAGAGCGCTGATGAGTTCCTCCAGAGTCACATTGTTCAGATCTTTTGACACCTTGAAGGCAGTTACCATTGGTGCCCATCTTCTGGGTAAGCTTCTGATGATCTTTTCACATGATCCGCTTTGGTATATCCTTTGTTCAAAACTCTCAGACCAGCGATCATAGTTTGAAACCTAGAGAACATTGCTTCTATAGACTCACTCTCTTCAACTTTGAAGGCTTCATACTTCTGAACTAAAGCCAGAGCTTTAGACTCCTTAACTTGAGTGTTTCCTTCATGAGTCATTTTGAGAGACTCAAACATATCATGCGATGTATCTCTATTAGTGATTTTTTCATATTCTACTTTAGAGATAGCATTTAAAAAATATTTCTAGCTCTGTGATGATTTTTAAAATCAGCTTTTTGTTGTCTATCCATATTTTTTCTATCCACTTTGTTTCCTTCTGAATCTGTAGGATGTTTGTAACCATCCAAGACTATATCCCAAAGATCACTATCATGACCTAGAAAGAAACTTTCTAGTCTATCTTTCTAGTACTCAAAATCTTCTCCATCAAACATTGGAGGTTTGTTGTAACTATTATTGTTTTGTTCAGCGGCCATTGTGTTTTCTTCTGGATCTTTTCCTGACACGGTTAAGTGTTGTGCTCAGAGTCAAGCTCTGATACCAATTGAAGGGATAAGAAAACACTTAGAAGGGGAGTTGAATAAGTGACTCTTTTCTTTTTCAAAACAAAGCTCAAACAATAAAGGAAGAACACAATTATTTTTATCCTGGTTCGTTTGAACTCAAACTACTCCAGTCCACCCGCCAAGGTGATTTCGCCTTTCTCAACAAAGACTTAATCAACTATAATCAACTGATTACAATCACACAACAATTGTTGTGACTAATAATGCACAGATAAACTTACAAGTGACTAACACCATTAAGACTTAAATCCAGTCCTAGTCTGCTTGAGAAATCTGACCATACTTGGTCTCTCAAGGAACAAATACAGGAGTTTAATCTTTAAAGATAATGAAATAGAGTTTGCTTCTAATCAAGCTATATCACAACTGTGATTTTTCACTTAGAATATAATGCACAAATTGTATGAACAATGAGTTTGTGAGCTTTTTGGATCTTTCACGTAGTTTCTTGCTTCTTTTGAAAATTTGATTGGTTTTCTTGGTTCACTTAAAGTTGTTGGCTTGCAATAAATGTCCTTCTATTTATAGTAGGAACAATAAGACCGTTGCTGCCTTCAGAAAAGATGGAGAGCATTAAATGCTTTGCGTGTATCCTTGCAATATCCCATTTTCCAAGAAACTAGTTGTAGGCACTTGAGTGCTTTCAGCCGTCTTTGCATTAATGAGCAAACGTTAGAATGTAAGAACATGTTTTTCTTTGCTTTGACAAGACAAGTTGATATAAATGTTACTTCAGAATTTTCTCCAATGTCTTTAAGTCAGAACATGCTTCACTCATCTTCTAGGCAGTGCGTTGCTTGCTAAGAACTTTGAACAACGCTTGCTTTCAAGTTATCTTCCGAACAAGGAACCTGCTAGAGGTTAGAAGATATATTTAACAAATAAAGTGTCTTATCAGAGTCAGCAGATGCGTTTGAATAAAAGGTTCTTTTATCAAAGAACTTCTTCATAATCTTTGCTTAGTACTTTAGAATGTTTTCTGTCAGAACATTAACTAAGACATTCAAAACACATTCATCAGAGCATAAATTATCTTAAATATAATTTAGTTATCATCAAAACTCTTGAGATAAGTCAGAACTAATCTTGTTCTTTCACACAACACATGAATCAGATTAGCAATTAACTTTCAATTATGAACCAACAAAATAAGTTATAAGAGATAAATTACAACTATCAATGTCATGAAAATTTCTCAAAACAAACTTTAAACACACTTCAATTAAGGAATAAACCTTCAACTCATGAAATAATAAAGCTCTAATTTCAAATGAAAATCACCACCACTTTTAATACTAATTCCAACAACAATATCAACATTAATCAATTTCAATTTGTTAGAACAAAACAATGTTATCACCAACCATTATCCATAACAATGTCATTAATCTCAAAAAAATTCAAACAACTTTGGATAACCTAAATATAATATACAAAAGTGAGTGAAAAATACACAATATCAAAGATTCTAACTACAAGGTCCAAAAGGTCATTTTGTTGCAAGGAAATTAATATCCATTGATTTCTCTATAGTATAATACCAATCTTAAATTTATTATGAACCAGTATAATCTTCATATTCATCTAATATTTAAACCAACTAAAATTTCATATCAAAATTTGTAACCAAAGACAGAATTGCAAATTAATACTAAATAATTTATGATTATTTAAATTAAGTAACAGAAATCGAAAGTAATAAAAAAACATATGGGAGGAAGATCATAAGGCTCATCATGGTTTTGTTGTTTTCTGAAAGCACTGCTAGATAAGAGAAACCCAGGAGCATGATCAAGCACAGCAACCAAGAACACACCTCCATTGAAAGACATAAGATACAAGAAGAAGAAAAAACAATAATAAGTGCCACTTGAACCTACTGATGTAACAAGGGAACGGCGGAAGTTAACGGAAGTTACAGGTTTGTTGGAGAGGAACAAGTTTGTGGGGGTTAACAGTGGGAGGCAGCGCACAGACGAGGGAGATTGTGACGAGTGAAGAAGGGTGTACGGGCAGAGGAGAGTAGCGTGAACGTGGAAGTGACGTGAGGTAGCGTTTGGTGATTCGCAAATTAGGGAGGAAAAATGAAGAAGGAAATCTAAGTTTCTCTCAATTTGATCTCTCCCTTTGAGTTTTGTTTTTTTTTTTCTGTTTGATATCACAAAAGTGATCTGCCTTCTAGACAATTCTATCTTATCTTTATTTATACACACAAATCTAGGTTTGACAAATTTTTTAATGACCAAAAAATCCTTTTTTTTAAAAATAAGATCAAGTTAATAAATTAAACTAATAAGAATAAATACATAAAAAAATATTTTAATTTTAATTTTTCGTAATAAAAAAGATATATAAAATAATAATAAATGATAAAATATAAATATTTAATTAACTAAAAAAAGGAAATGAACACATTAAAGTAAATTATAGGTCATAAAAATGAATATAAAAATATCTCAAATGGTCAAATCAAAATAAAAATGAAAATAAAAATATAAAGCTGGACAAACGTGACACTTAAAAAAATGACTTCAAACTGTATCGAAAAAATAAAGCGAACATACCGACATGATCTACGCACAATGTAGATTCATAAAAAAAATCAGTAAAAGATGAAAACTTGAAATATTTTTCCGCTAATTTCTTGCAAGTGTCGAATTGCTTTTAACGGTCTGTCTGTAAAACCGAAATATCAAATATTATCGACATATAAACAATTTGATGCAATGCAAGAAGCATGTAAAGAGATAAAAATACATGAAATGAGATAACGGGTATTTTTCCACTATAAAACGATGTAAATGTTGATTTAAATTGACTTTGGTCAACTTAAATACGACTAATGATGCGAATGCGATGAATGTCTACTCTAAGGAAAAATTGGGGTATGACAGCTGCCCCTATTTAATTATCCTTAACTAGATAACATCGTAGTGAAAGGTAATTAAATATAGAAAGAGATTTACGACACATAAATTGCGACAGTTCCCACAAAACCGTCCTTATTCCTGAATTGCGACAGTTGTCACGACGGTTAGGCTCAACCGTCGTAGATTTTCAAGCATTATGAGTAACATAATTGCGACAGTTACCAAAAAACCGCCCTCTTTTCACATCCGCGACAATTAGGTGAACTGTCGTAACTACATTAGCCAATCATAATCGCTACTTTTTTTTATTCTTTTACTTTCCCACTTTTTTTCTTTCATTTCCCCTTCTTTTTCTCTTTTATTAATAATAATAATAATAATAATAATAATAATAATAATAATAATAATAATAATAATAATAAAATAAATTACCAACAAAATAAATTTTCACACCCATCAATATTATTTTAAGATTTTCATAATTTTATTTATTAAATTACAATTTCCTTTATATTTTTCTTCTTTATTTATTTAAGATTTTAATTCCATCCACATTTCTAATTTTAAGAAAGAAGTTTTATCTTTTTATCTTTTATTTTATTATTTTAAGTTAACAAATAATATATATATATATATATATATATATATATATATATATATATATATATATATATATATATATATATATATATATATATATATATATATATATATATATATATATATATATATATATATATATATATATATATATATATGATATCACAAAATGTTAGTAATTCATTTTTAAACAAAATATCAATTTACTTTTACAGTATCCTTCGTCCAAAATGTCACCCGAACCCTAGCGCAGCCGTCCCAAAATCAAGACTCGTCTTGCTTCTCCGTCGTTGAAGGTCCACCGTCCGGAAACCGTCAAACATTCAACCGCAAATCATGTCTCTCACTTCCTTTTATTTCTCTATCTTCTGAAGGACGCCCCGTCGATTACTCTTGTGTCTTACCCTGTTCGGGTAGCTCCACTCCCGGAAGATAAGGGTCCGGCTGAAAATGATGAAATGGAGAAGGAGAGGAAGAGAATTAAGGCGAAGGATCAGTTGAGGAAGAAGATTCTTAAAGCTACATAAGATGAAAAGTTGAAGGTACCTCTCCAAACCCTAACCGCACCAATTGGGTCAAATGCGATGAAGACAGTAAGTTGAAGCGCAATTCATGACGAGGGCATGGCTTAGGCTAAAAAAATGTACACGGCTTGTTAAAAGACTCGTCAGAATTAAGTGGCTATGAACTTTCCGGTGGGATTACCCAGATTTCAGCGAGGTCTCACTGATTCTGGCAGCTTCAAAAGGTAATCTTTTAAATTGTGATGGCCTTGTTTCTTTCTCTAATCTTCTCCTTCTTCTTTCTTTTTGAATTCTCGAGACTTTGCTTTTCTTTTTTGATGTTCTTTGTTGCTTCTGTGTGTTCTTCTGTATGATTGTAATTGCTCTGCTTATTTTCCTTTTCTTTGTTGTATTTCTGTTGTGTGTACTAATTGAGTGAGAGCTGAAAGAATGATGATGATAATTGAGAATGAGTACGAGAGTTACATGGTGTTGTGTGATTCAGAGAATTGTTGTTGAATCATGAACTGAGAGGGTAGTGATATGTTGCAAGGTGGTGGGGGTTGATAGTTTCAGGTCCTCTTAGTTATCGGAATGTTTCAAATATTATTCTACTCATTTCAAATTTTGTACAATTTATTTGGATGATGTTTCTACATTGTACTTGTGGTTACACTGCGAGCTTATGAAAACTAATGTGGATGATGTTGCTGCATTTGCGGTTGTGATATTGTTCAAGGACATGTGAAACCTTTATATTGTGAAAGAAATTAGGAGCTGAATACATAACTCAGTTGAAAAGTTTCTAGAAGTTAGAAGTTTGTTTAAACTTGCCCTAAGATATTGCCTATGTGAAAGAAATTGTATAGTGTAATTTTGAGACTTCGAAAAAACACACTTTTTTTATATTATATTAAATGGTTAAACCTTAGTTGGTTATATATGTTATCCATAATATACTACTACACCTTCTATATTTTAGGGACTGAAAATGAATCCCGCAACTCTTCTTGAAAAGAAATACATATTACAATGAAGTTCTAAAAATGCAGCCACAAGTTGAAGATATATTGATGGAAAACAAATGATCTTTTTGTTTGAGGAATCAATTTAGAGAGTATAAAAGTTAACATCATGTTTTTCCCTTCGATTATGTATATGTACTATGTAGGTATATCATATATATTTTGTGCTGCTGTTATTGATGTACTCCGACTCTCTAAGACAGTTTCTATATGTTGCACTTTGAAGTTTGAATTTCAAATATTCATTGCTGAACCTTTTCGTTAGGGTTTGTTTTCATCCTCCAATTTTGTGATGGGGTTGAAACCGTGGCTACATCCTGCTCCAACTTATAGACCTATAGAAAGATTTTGGGATAGTGATGAAGAAGCTCCTGGTCCTCATTGTGGATATAGTCTAACCATTGTTGCCGCTACTTGAAGGAGAGAAACCACTTATAAAGGGGGGTTTGAATAAGTTTGGTTTCAAAAATTTTAAGACAGTAAACAACAACACAAGTACTTTTATCCTAGTTCGTTGAACTCAACTACTCCAGTCCACCCGTCAAGGTGATTTTCCTTATCACTTAAGGACTTAATCCACTATAATCCAAGCTGATTAGAAGCTGCACAACTACAGTTGTGACTAACTACAATCATTAAGATTAAACTAACCTTAAACTTCTCAGGAATACAGATCTACCTAGATCTCCTAAGGAACATAAGGAAACACTTTTGTTCCATTAGAAAAATGTCTGAGATCATTGTGTTAGGCAAACTGTTGTGAGAGTTATTCTGCCAGCCCATAATTGACAGTTAGTTTTGTAATGCAGGTACAAGAAGAAGCGCAAAATGGACAAGTAGAATTGGAAAAACATGTCATCCCAAAGACATTGACTAAGCCATCTGAGGCATATTATGATGCCAAAAACCTGCCACATGTTCTTGTGAGTACAAAAATATGTTTTGTGTGAATCTTGCAGGCTGCTAGGTATGCGTAGCTTGGACCAAATGGTAGTCAAGGAAGGATCATAGTCCTAGCATGGAAGTTTAACACAAAATCACTTAACACTAAGGACTTTCATGAATTTTGTAGAATATTGTAACATTTTTTGTAATTCTCTCAAGTTGTAGCAAACCAATGTAAATATTAAAATGAAATTTGGCCTTTGATGATATTTGAATTTTTCTTGTTTATTGGTAAAATTTGCACTTCTTTTTACCTTTGATCACATTTTTTTGATATTATTGATGATTATTTGATATTAAATGTTTTTATTGTAATTAACTTTATTATGTTGAAAAGTGATAGAAAATAAAATAAAAATACTATAAATAAAAAAATATTAAAGTAAATAATAATTTAAATATAATAGTAAAATATTATAGTAAAATAATATTATATTTAAAATTATTTTACTAAATAATAATTTAAATAAAAATATTATTTGAAATTTATAAATCAGATTACGACGGTTAAAACCGCCGCAATTTCTAACCTACGGCGGTAGAATAACCGTCGCAAACAACAACAAAAACAAAAAATAAAGTCAAATTCACGACGGTATATAACCGTCGCTATCTGTTGTGCGTGACAGTTTTTGCAACCGTCGCGAAATAGGCTGGGGACGCACGATTCTGCGACGGTACTTCTACCGTCGTAGATTGTAAATTGCGACGGTTTTAACCGTCGTAATCAGCCAAAATAACCGTCCCAATCTATCATTTTTCTTGTAGTGAAATGAGATAACGGGTATTTTTCCACTATAAAACGATGTAAATGTTGATTTAAATTGACTTTGGTCAACTTAAATACGACTAATGATGCGAATGCGATGAATGTCTGACTCTAAGGAAAAATTGGGGTATGACAGCTGCCCCTATTTAATTATCCTTAACTAGATAACATCGTAGTGAAAGGTAATTAAATATAGAAAGACTCAAATTTTGTCCCTTAGGTAACAATGAAATGCAATGTAATGCATTGACTCTTTTTTGACATATTTTTTGTATATGATATGATATTAATGCATAAGATAAGACACTTTGTGGAAAAACTTGAAACAAGAAATTTATGGTAGATTGAATAAGACTACGTGGCAAGACAAGCTGGGGAACACAAGCTATTTTTGGATATTCGTCAAGGTGACAAGGTGTATCCATCAATACTGGGAAAGACAGGGACAAAACCCTGGAAATATAA